CAGCAATGGAAACGCTGACTAATGCCTAGGCTGTGGTCTGAATATCGTGAGGTATATAACCCCCAGACTCACTCCTATCCGGCATCGAGAATGGAAACATTGACTAATGAAGCAAAGACTCCATAAAAGAAACAAAGACTCCAAATCTCTTCAAAATAAAGGTATAGGGAAAATACTAATAAAGTACTCCCGTACGCTCCCGTACACCGACACGTAATAGTGTCAAAAAGAAGACCTAACAGATGAACACATAGTTCAAAAACACCTAATAAACATATAGTTCAAGAACACCTTATGAACATATAGTTCAAACATACCTACTGATTACAAGTCTGCTAACGTTCCACTGGACTATCTAAAATAGTCTGTGGTCATTGTCTATACTCTGCTAGATGACTAGATCATCTTAAAAATCGATACCTCTCATCACCTTTTATTTCATCACACATCATCTAATTCATTTACCCATGTTTTACCCAACATATTTGTAGATAAAAATACATATACAGTTTAAAACTTGTATAAAACATCTATTCAAAAATCACCTTAATTAAACAATTAATATAATTACACATAGCACGTATTTTAAAGAAAATACTTCATATATGTGTAAGGTGAAAGTAACTATACACTCACCTTAGTAGCGGGAGTAGATATAATCTAAAAACGGTCAACAGCTCGTGATCGTCGTGCTCGGGAAGGGAAAACGGCCTTCAGAAACAAGAGAGAATGAAAGAAATGGTGTACTAAGCCTTGGGGTCGAAATGACTATTTATAGTAAGATTTTATGACACTCGCGTCGTGAGTGTCATAAGGCTCACGTCGTGAGTCTCATGATTCACTCCGTAGGCTTGCTATTTGCGTCCGTAGCTTCAGATGGTGGCGATGACACCTCACGTCGTGAGTGTCATAAATCTCACGTCGTGAATTGGATCTTATCCTCTCGCATCTTCTAGATTCCGAATTATGACAGAATGTCGTGAGCCTCATAAAACTCACGTCGTGAATTAGCTACTTTAGGTTTTTTTAAAGCTAAATCTTCGAAATACCATAACTTTTGCATACGAACTCCGTTTTTGACGTTCTTTATATCCACGCATAGGTGGAGACGTATTCTACAACTTTCATTTAGATCCCTAAGGCTAAAAAGTCCTCTATCTTAAATTCACTATTTACGTCTCCCGGTGTCGTGTCGGTTTTGCCGAAAAACTTCGACGGGCCATAACTTCTTCGTTATAACTTGGATTTCGGCATTCTTTATATGTACGGAACCCTTGATACATATTCTACAACTTAGTTAAGATTATATATTATACATACTCTTTTGTCAAAAAGTCATTTTCGACCCCTATTATCTCTAAATTGACTTGCCCGGATCTACGGGCGTTACATTAACCTTTTTAGTCCCTCCTCCTCTCATTCTTTTCAACTTAAGTCCCAAAACTTACACCTTAGTCCTTGACTCCATAAAATCTTTTCAATTTAAATCCTGAAATTATACTTAACCCCAAAACTAACTCCTTGGTACACTATTTCGCATTTAGGGCTATTATTCTTTTATAAATCTTTATCTATTTATTTATCTACTAAACAAGGTGTTACACAACCCCTAGGTTATAAACTCAATGATCAACCAATACTATCATTACCTTAACCAATCATGACACCTAACAATATCATACACTCAACAGGAAAGACCATACCTATCTATCATAGCATGACACCAATTGTCCTATATTGCACATACATAACAAGGAGTTATCCTATCCAACTAGAATACATGTACTCTAACAGTACCATTATCCTAACATACAAAGGATATATAATGTCATACGTGGCATAGTAAGAAGACTCGCCTGAATCGTAAAATCGGAGAAGCATAACTACACTTTCAATTCCTCGCATTAATCAGACCTGCGAGCCGATTATCACCAAATAAAGATCAAACCTAATTCATCAACTCAAATCCTTCAAGTTTGACCCAAGGTCAAACTGGTCAAAATTCTATGATAAACGGTCAACAAAAGTCAACAGTCAACCAGATCAATGGCCATCAGAGATGAGATTTAAAACCAGAAAATCGGGCAGGAACTAGAACGAGTATAACTGGAATATGCTAAACCGATCCAGGTTTTGGGTATAGAAAATAGCCTTATCCGGGTTTCGGATATTCCGGGTATAGGTCCAATGGGTCCGGGTATTCTGGGTTTTAGAACTGGATTTGCAAGTGAGAACCGGAACCGGGTTTAATGAATTGGAACCAAAATTTTGAAGGGTTATACTTTTTTTATCCACAATCGACTACTCAGTAAAAAAAACATCATATCCCATTGACTAATAGAGCTACTAAAAAAAACTTTTCACTTCTCTATAATCGATGTCGACAGGATCACAATCATCTTCTCGTTTTGTTCCCGTTCTTTACCAAATGACATCATTAAACACTTGAAAAAGTAAGGCAATAATTCTTGAATTTAAATTAGGGATAATGACTTGAAAGGGTAACGAATTTTCGATTTTTGTCACATTTAGTCACTAAACTTTTTTTCGTTATCTATTTGCCATTGAACTATTGAAATTGTTCACATTTTACCCTTATGACCGGCTGTTGCCGGTCATAGGGGTAAAATGTGAACAATTTTAATAGTTCAATGGAAAATAGATAACGAAAAAAAGTTTAGTGACTAAATATGAACAAAATCGAAAGTTCGTTTCTCCTTAAAAAGTTCAATGACTAAATGTGAACAAACTTCCTCTTGTATTATGTTTTACCAAATTATTTATTTTTGTTAAACTGTAGCAACATTTGTTGATGAAGAAATCTATGAAATAAAAAAACAAAAAAAAACCTTGAAAATATATTTAAAAAAACAAAAAACCAAAACCGAAATAAAAAACCAATGGTTTGACATTTTCCAAAATAAAAAATCAAAATTTCCAATCTGATTTTGGTTTTACAAAAAAATGAACCATTCTCACTGATGTGAATTATAACCATTGGTTTGACATGCAAAATTTGTGACATCCCATGAATATGTAGTTACAACATCGTCTGAACTCGTAATTCATAGTAAGGGTTAGAGTATCATCGCATGAATACGTAGTTACAACATCGCCTGAAATCGTAATTCATCACCTACAGGTTATGGGCCTGCTGGTGTTTCCACTAGGTTGTCTAGAATAGTCCGTGGTCGCGATCTATACTCTGGTAGATTACTACATCGCCACATTGCTGGTTAAGGTTATGGTATCTCCTTTCATCCTACATCACATATTCATCATCATCTAGTCACCTAATTATTATCACCTATCTCTCATCATTTTATTTCATCACATTGTTGGTTAAGGTTATTCTTCCTAACTTCGAACCCCAAGGTTTACTCTACTAAAGCTTCATATTCTAGGCTCTCTAGACCTAGAAGGGTCCAGATCTATCACACTAAAAAGCTCAAGATAACTCTTCCTCTCACTCTACACACTCAAGCTCGCTAGGGTTCCCACTTATGGGAAAGGTAGTCACAATTGAAGGCCATAAGTGCCTTTAAATATGGCTCGGGCCCAAAGATTTATGGTTTCTGTCAACAGCGTGGACTCGTCGGGTCCATTCATTAATCTGAGTCATCAGTCGCTACCTTACTCGACGAGTTGAGGCGTCAACTCGTCGATTCTCTCTTCTTAACTCAAAAGAAAAATACTTAAATTATGATACTTGGAAATCTGGATGTTACATTTTGTTTTTTTATTTCATAGATTTCTTCATCAACAAATGTTGCTACAATTAAACAAAAATAAATAATTTTGCTAAAACATAATACAATAGGAATAGGAAGTTTGTTCACATTTAGTCATTGAACTTTTTAGAGGGAAACAAACTTTCGATTTTGTTCACATTTAGTCACTAAACTTTTTTTCGTTATCTATTTGACACTAAACTATTGAAACTGTTCACATTTTACCCTTATGACCGGTAACAGCCGGTCATAAGGGTAAAATGTGAACAGTTTCAATAGTTCAATGGCAAATAGATAACGAAAAAATGTTTAGTGACTAAATGTGACAAAAGTCGAAAGTTCGATACCCTTTCAAGTCATTATCCCTTTAAATTATTTACACTAGTCCGACACTTTTTCTGTTTGTGTACATATCATTTTAAGCAAGAAGGCTCAGTAATTAAAAAATATCATTATCCATCATAGCTTTTAAATTTGTTTCCTTATATACACATACTGAAAGGGGTTTGTGCTCTTTATGATGAATATATATATATATATATATATATATATATATATATATATATATATATATATATATATATATATATATATATATGACAAAACTTCAAAAATGGTTCCTGTGGTTTTCAAAAATATCAAGTTTAGTCCCTAAGTTCAAAAAACCTCACAAATGGTCCCTGTGGTTTCAAAACTTTTAACATTTGGTCCTTCCGACTAACTCCGTTAGCTTTTGGCCGTTAAGTCAGGGGCGTTTTTGGCATTTCACTACACAGGGACCATTTATGAGGTTTTGCAATTACTTTTTTTTAAATAAATAAATAAATAGTATTTAATATGCAAGGGTCCCACCCCATCTCTCTCTCTCTCTCTCTCTCTCTCTCAGAGACCATTTAAACATCACCACCTCACCTCCTTTTCTCTCCCTCCCTTCAATCTACTGCACAAATCGAAGAAAGAAACAAGGACAACCAAGGACTACCACCCTCAACCACCCACCGGTGACCCCCACCAGCGGCGGTGAGTTAACGGGGTTAGCAGTGGGGTTCATGAAGGTGGTGGATTTGGACTGGGTTTTGTAATTGTATCTTGATAATCAAAAGAAGAGGTAAAACTCCATCATTCAATCTAGTGGACTTCTGTGCTTCCCTGAGTTGACCCGGAAAATCTGAAAAACATAAACTCATTTACGTATCGATTGAGATTAGTGGTGATTGATAAGATAGGTGATTTGGGTTTTGTGTTGGAATATGAAATAGAGATGTTGAGTTACTGAGTTGAACTTGAATAATCTATCCATGAATTGACTTGAGTGCCACTTTGTAAATTAACTTCAATGGAGTCCAAATCGGCAACTTGGGAAGAAACCATGGAGTCAGGATCCAAACCCACATGATTCCCATTAATATCTTTGAACTCGACATCCATTAGAGTATCAAACTCAACAGCAACAGTGCCGGTAGGAATACCCAAATACGCACCAGCATCGCCGACATCTTCATCGTTCGGCGATACGACAAAAGCCAAACCACCTCCAATCGAACCCGGATTCAAATTAATAAGCGAGAATGAAAAATACGTTGAGAAACTCGTCGGATTAGGGCTCCCAGGTCTTCGGAATCTAACGGGCTTGTTGTACAAAACCCTGTCGGCGCCAGAGTTAGGGATGGAGAGATCTCGGGTGAGTCTGACACTATTGTTGAACAAGTAAGCGTCGCCGAGGAACTTCAAGCTTGTGAGAGTAAGTGTTTGGAAGTCAAATGTGGTGGTTCTGGTGTCCGCATTGCCGGAAAAACAGAAGAAAAGTAGAGAGTAAAACATAATGAAAAGGGTGTTTGTGCTGGAAATTGAAGAAGAAGACATTGTTTGTGAGCTAGATCTGAGGAACTTCCATGGAGAATTCTTGAGACTACAGATGAACTCGATCAATCAATCACGAGATTACAGCACAGTTGTGGAGAGAAAGAGAGAGAGAGTGTGTGTGTGTGAGAGAGAAAGAGACGGTGGGTGGGACCCTTTAATATTAAATAATATATATATATATATATATATATATATATATATATATATATATATATATATTAAAATATGGTAAAACTTCATAAATGGTCCCTATGGAAGTGAAATGACTGAATTGCCCTTCACTTAACTGCCAAAAGTTAACGGGGTTAGCCGGAAGGAGCAAATGTTAAAAGTTTTGAAACCATAGGGACCATCTGTGAGGTTTTTTGAACTTAGGGACTAAACTCGATATTTTCGAAAACCACAGGGACCATTTTTGAAGTTTTGTCTATATATATATATATATATATATATATATATATATATATATATATATATATATATATATATATATATATATATATATATATATATATATATACTAGCCGTTTACCCGCGCCAAGCGACGGGTGCGAATTGTTCTTTCAAAAATCAGTTTCTAGAGGCGATTAGGTTTTTTTGCACAAATAGTTTATTATATCTAAACAATTATCAATAAGTTTTATGCTATCGGAAACGAACTAAAAAATAAAAATGAAAAGTTTAGATTGTTTACAAATGTACATAAACACATGATTGATTGTGCATTATTGATCGTGCACCATTTATTTATACATCACATTTGATGTATAGACTTCACTTTCGTTGAACTGTTAGTCAGACTTCACTAATACTTTTGTAGTGAGATGCGATAACCCGTGAATAATGTAACATAAAAATGACTATGCGAGAGTTAGTTTCATTTTAATGATTAGGTTTCCAATGACAATCAGTGTTATTTCCGTTGACGTCAAATAACTTCATGTTAATAAATAGTTTTTATTTATTTATTTATTTATTTATTTTTGTGACAACGATTAGTTTTTTCGTATATTATTTTCATTTTGAAACGTATCATATTACGAAAATCATAATACGCCGACAATCATCTTATTAATAGCAGAAAAATAATTGTATAAGTGAGTAATGCAAAAGTTTTATGAATATAACTAATTATATAAATTATCTAATATTTCAAATTTTGAAAATCACCACCCATAAACACAATTTTGACATATTGTTGAGAATGGAGCAAATGAACTGATTCATAATAAGGATGTTCAAAACATCCAAAAATTGATATCTCACGAAATGTATTGTAACTTATCAAATTGGTATTTTAGTTTTATAGGATCGATTAACCTGCTGGATAAAATCTTTGGTTTTTTCAGTACAATTATAACTACACTCAAAACACATACACGTCAAATACACACATAACACACACACATAGGAGATTTATAGTTTTATTTAAAAAATACATACAAACAAACAAACATAAATGCATTGCTATTTCTTTGAAAAAAAAAACAAAATATATTATTTAAGAAGAAATTTCAAATATCTACAATAATCCTTAAATTAAAAATAAAAATAACAAAAATATCTTATTAGTCCATAATGTAATCCATTGATTTGATCACATAAACATGAATAAGGTGGTGAAGACTTAATCCAAAAAATATTCAACAAAGTATCAACATAACATAAACCACAATGAATTACAAAAAGCTAGTAGATATGACAAACAAACAACCACATCGATACTTAACCTAGAGCAGCGTATGTGATGATACATTGATAAGAATAGTTTCCAAAATTTTCCAAATCCTATATATGTGGGTCACATTCCTCAATAATACAATATATAATACATTTCAACATTCTCACACCCATAAAAATTTCAAAAAAAAAGATATTAGAAACTGGATTTACAAGGTTCATGGTTTTCTAATTAAATGCACTTGCCAAGAACAGTAAGTTTGTGGTTTTCTAAATGCACTTACCTGAGACTTGTCAAAATTGACAAAACGAAGCAAAAAGATGTCTCTAACACCAACTTTTGCACGGCTCTGACCTGCAAAGTTACACATTTAAAAAAATTATAAACTACCAGAGAGAAACAAATCACCAATTAGAATCACATTTACTGTATTATCAAGTTATATGATTTACTTACTTAGGCACGCTGAGCTTGTTGATTCCATTGAAGATGACCCAAGATTTCACTTTTCACCGTTTTTCATAGGTTCCATGAATGGAATAAAAACCCCAAGCCTACTTAAACAATCATTATCAATATCTCTTTTGAATAAAGAAACCAGGGTCAAAGTATCAATTTCTTTGTTTCAAGGAGCACATCGATGAATGCAGGGAGTTTAATAAAACTAAACCCAATTGCCAGTATCACACAAGAAATTAACATTTGAGTAAAACCACAATGTAGCACCTGGTTCTTTGTACGTATTTTGTTATTAAATCTTTAATTATTTTGCATTTTTGGTCTTGGACTCGGCGAGTTGAAGGACCAAATCGCCGAGTAGAAGCGGGATGAGGCGCGGAGTTTACGTCATGGACTCGTCGAGTCGGGTCCCGGACTCGGCGAGTAGCTGTTGTCTGGACTAAAACCCTAATCTAGGGGTTTGCACCCTATTTAAACAACCTTATGCAGCCTCCATTCCCCCTTTATGCTCCCAAAAACTTCTCATCGAAACCTTAGCCGTTTGTATTTTATTGAGGCCATTTTTGGTGTTCTTGTGTGATAGTAAAGCTTGGAAGGAAGAAAGGAGCTTGGAACTTGAGTTGGGGACAGTATATTCAGGGAGTTTACTTCATCTTCAGCAACTTCAAGGTATAATGCCCCTGTCTTGGTTCATCTATGTGTTTATTCATCTTTAACTTGGGGTATCTTTGGATTGCTAAGTCATATTTCGATATTGGGAGTGTGGGGTGGGTTTTGACTTCAGATATGGGCCTTAGGAGGGCTTTCATGGCATAAAGGTGCCAACTTTAGGGCCATGAAAGCCCCATGCACATTGTAGGACACCTTATGTGGATTTTTGAGCTAAAAACCCCATGCATGTGCATCAAGTTTGGAACTTTACGTATGAAGAGGACATTAGGAGGCCAGATCTATGGTTTTGGTGTGTTAGATCTCATTTAAATCAACTGTATGGAATTGGTCAAGACTGGAATCGGTGAGTGCATTCTTGGACTCGACGAGTCCAAGGAAATCTCCTTAGAACTCGGCGAGTTGAGGACAGATTTAGTTCATTAGATGAAGGCCAACTCGACGAGTTGTTCATCAACTCGGCGAGTTGGAGGAGTTTTCATGGGGTGTTCGGATGAGAGAAGAACTCGTCGAGTTGACGACCCAACTCGACGAGTAGGGTCGCAGATGAGGACGAGTAGAGAGTGAGGGACTCGGCAAGTTGTTGTCCCAACTCAGCGAGTCGGGTCAACTGGAAGTTAACTTTGACTTTGACTTGACTTGGTTGGGGGTAAAATGGTCATTTTACCCTAAGAGTATAGAAATCAGTTTCTAACTGAGTGTTTGTGGGGTTTGTAGCCGGAGCATTTCCGGAGCAGTAGCGGACGGAGGTTTCCCGCACTGATTATCAGCAGCTACCTGTATGAGGTGAGTTACCTTCCAGTAGGGGTGGGTCTAAGGCCATAATGTCGACCCACCAATGAGGAGTATTTAGAATATGATTGTCTTTGTGATAATTATCTTTTTCTGTTATGTGCTTGGTTATGAGTTATATATGTATGATATGTTACGTGCATGATAGGGATAGTGGTCCTTAGGACCAAGGGGTAGATCAGTACCCGAATATGCATGAATGTATGCTTATATCTTGTTATTGTATGCTAGTGGTAAGGGGTGGAATAGTCCTCAGTTACTGGTTGAAAGATGCCGATGATGATTACCAGTTTAAAGATACCGATGACGATTACCGGTTGAAAGATACCGATGTTATTGTATGGTATGTGGTATGATGGGGGAACTCACTAAGCTTTGTGTTTACGGTTTCAGTTTTTGGTTTCACGTACCTCTTCGTCTAAGGGGAAAGAGTCGGTGGCGTAGCTGATGGGTTTTGAGCATTCTAACACTTCCTAAGTGTACATGCAACCCTAATAACCTTGGATCTATGTTTGTCTAATTATCATGCAAAGTTGAATTCCAAGGTTATATTCCTATCTAGCATACATGGAGAACAATTTTATCTTAAAGTATAGATAGAATAACTTACCTTGTTGTTGTTTGTGTTCCTTGAAACCTTGTGAGCCTAGCACCCCAAGTGTGATGCCTCAAATGCTTCACACAACACCAAATGCTCTTGGAAGAACTTATGAGAGAACACACACTTCTCAAAAATCGGCCAAGCCCTCTTGTTTCTTAGTGTAGCCGATTTTAGGTGGAGAACATGTTACTTATATAGTGTTGACACATCTAGGGTTAAACCCTAATGTGTCATGACTCTTCATTTCCATGACCCATGGGTTTGTAACTCCCATGGAGCATCCTATGGGTGGAACCCAACTTGATAATCCATGGAGCCTCTTAGCCCACTATACAAGATATGGATGATTTACATAATCAACCCATATATTTAATTAGTTATCTTTTGATCACATAATTAATTCTAAATTAATTCTTGATCAAACTAATCAAATAATATTATTAATATATTAGAACTTATAATATATTAATAATCTCCAAGTGTTATTTCTCTCATTTAGTCTATCCAATTGCATGGTGCCATGCAACCCAAATGGACCATGCCGGGTCGGGTCAAGTACATACCAGAAATAGTTATGGACTTAGACACCTTATCCAACAGTCTCCCACTTGGATAAGTCTAATAACTATTACTGCAAGTATGACTTCAGGAACCGATCGGCAATCGTAGCTCTTTACAAGGTTTCTCGGAACTGAGAAGATGATGGTACGCCATTTAAGATAAGTGATCATATAATCCTCTGTTCTAGATATCAGTCGGACAAATACATGGAACAATGTCTTACTCATTGTCCAACAG